AGAACTTGGACACAGTTCTTGAATCGTGGACACAAGGCTTAAGACCTCGGAGTAGACTCCGTGTTTCCGGTATACTAGGCGTAGAGTAAAGGACCGTCTACATTGGAAGTAAGCAGTAAGAAGTAAGAAAATTATAACCTTTACTTATCAGCGTAAAAGCTAAAGTACAGGTATAATTATTTAAAATATTTATAGCACTGGTCGAACTCTGCGCTCCAATTCGCCGAGAGTAAGCGTCAGACCTGAAGTAGGAGTAAGAAATGGAAATGATTTAATTTCTTTACTCCTACTCGTACGCCAAGCTTACTTCACCTATTGTAGACGATCATTTAGGCTGTAAGCGAAATGGTTCAATTCCATTTCGTACCATCTACTCCCATATTCTCAGCCAACGAGAGCTGGACAGTTGAGCTGGTTGAAGCAATAATCTAGCCTAGCCACGCGGTCAGTGTAGGTAAATACGTGACAATATCGGACACAGGATCCTTTTTAACAAATGAAGACGAGGGTGAAATTATTAGTAATAGAGAATTAATTGCTATGGTCCGAGCTAATCGGTTTCTATACGACAAAATACAACCGAATCCACCACTTCCGATCGATAGATCTCTTCGTCTGAATACCATTGTAGACCACACTTTACATATACGCATAGAGGAAAGTCCCCTATTACGAGATAGGATCCTAATAGGAGATAGCGGAGTTTCTGCTAAATTAATAGGCATTGTCTGTTGGTTCCACCACGAATTTATTGCCCTTGGAGTGAAATCTGTTTAACGGAAAATTGATTGTTAGACCGTGCAATCGTTGCGAAGAAAGATTTGTCATTGAATTTGGACGTTGAAAATCTACTATCTCATATTAGACTCCTATCTCATAACAGAGGACTTTCCTCTATTAATTTGATGTATAGACGATATCATGTCAGTGTCGAGTAATTATTGATGTTTTAGTTGATATCTAGTAGATATCATATTCAGGCCGAGTCGATAAATGGAGATGTTCAATTTTAATATGATATGAATTGTGAAGTATGACTAGATCGTGGACATCTACGGAATAATTTCCAGATATTGTAATCAAATCTTCTAAGTATCAACTTGATTATTAATTTGCACGTGATCTCAATTTGATTTCAATATGATATTGTTACAGACGTATAATTTTAACTATAAATTATTTAAATTAAATTTTTAAAAGAAACTCCTGAGAAATCTCTCGGAACATTCCTTATCGATCGTTTATCAGATTACAACTCGCGACGAAGCGGTACCACGGTGGCAGTGACAACTGTTACCAGGGTAGAGTTGCGGTGAAGGAACGGAGAACAATACCTTCCTCCTCCACTTAAAGAAATAACGTAGGGGGAAATTTACTATATAAATGCGAGCAGGATCGAGTCGACAATCCATTGATCCATTAATTCTTTAACAATCCATAAACTCACAACTCGACAAATAAGAGTTAAAACTAAAGCTGAGAATCGACTTGACTCGGACCTATATCCTAAATTGTTGATTCGAATTTCAAGAAGTTTTGGACATTTGAGAATAAAGTAAGAGTTATATTAAGAGAGATAATAATTAATTCAATCCAAGATCTATCCTCTCATTTTCTCTGATCGCTGACAAAGAGTGTGGCGGACAGAATTCTCTATTCCTCTCTGATCGCTGACGTAGAGTGTGGCGGACAGAAACCAACATCCTTACTCCATGACCAAAAGGAAAGGAGGAAAACGAGTTCAAATCAAACGCGTTAAATACCAAATCAAGCAGGCGCTAAACTCTAACAAAGATCCTATACTTTTTCTGCTTAAATTAAGAGAATTTGAATCCAAGGACAACGCCTCAATCGCGAAATCACAGAATTATAAACTAATTCCAATAGATTTCGAGGTCAATTACTTAAATTATAAGTTTATTAATAAAGACGATCCTCGTTATAAGGTTTATCAAAATCGTTATCTCTTTGGTCCAGAAGACTGATTAAAAGTAATTAATTCACACAATCGAGTCCAAATCCCCGGTAAAGCACTTAAATGTGTTGACCGAAAAACGGACGAAACTTTGACTTTGTCAGACCTTGACGGAACGTGACAATATCCACCAGATTCTTCATCGACCTGTGAACCCGGGAAGCCCATTGATCGATCGTAGATCTTTGGCGATTGGCGGCGAAATAATTAATCCGTGGACTATCGATTTCTGATTTGTAAATTGGGTCTCCGTCGAGTATTTACCTTAGTTGTGGAAGTTGTGTTCGCCCCCTCAGGAATCTTGAAGTCAAGCGGGTTCAAGAACATATTATGTAGACGTTGCCTAATGCTGTTGATATAGTCTGAAAGAATAAAACAGAAGCGGATATTAGAAAGAGAAGAGTCCCTGTATAAGTAATTTATGTACATCCGTGTAATGCTTTAATACAATTTTTTAAATATCGGCTGCTTCATTTTATTTGTAAATGTCAGTGACAACGACCTGGCAAAGTGCGTTCGATAATGGACGAATTTAAACGAATTTAAAGCAGGCGTGAGCGCCGGTGACTGTTTAAAAAATATTTGTCAAGCATCTGGGGCTGACGCGCTTATTAGAATCGCGTGCAATCGTCGGGTAACAAAATTGCGCTTCCATGATTTTTGATTTAGGAAATGAAGCATGCAGCGACGGACTCGCCGACCCGAACGACGATCAATTAAAAAAAAAATAAAAGGAGAGGAAGGAGGAAAACCCTATAAATATCTAATTTACAGTAAAGCTCTCGTTTGATGCGCACATTTTCATCCAATATTTGTCGCTGCATTTTTAATATCTATCACGTCGCGTCCATCTCTTTTTGCCGTTTTATTTTTAATCTGTCACATCATATTTTTAAAATATTATGGAACGTTTACCGCTTAATTTTCTAAGTTTCTCTCATCGAGTGTTGCCTCTCTATAGATCGCATTGGCACGGGTCCGGATTAAGGGGGGCTAAGGGGGGCTATAGTCCCGGATTTCGTTTATAAGGGGGCCTCACCCGACACACAATAATTTCGTAACTAATGTGGTTCATTTATAATAAAGGTAAGACGCCCGCCTAGTGAGAGGGGGGTTTGAACTTGAATTATTCAGTGCTATACTTGTAACTGTTGTCAGTGATAATGCGCTGATTGACTTTGAGAGACACTAACTTCCTGTCTTGTCTCTTATATCCTTTATTATTTCGTATTTGTGATTTCAGGTCAGAGCCTAATGAATTTTATTTGACTAAATAAAGTTTAACCTAAATGCAAAATTTCATCTTAAACGTCATCTCACATCTTAAACAATATTATTTCGGTTGCGGTCAAGTTGCCGCAAGCGCTTCAAAGTGTTCCCCTTCTACATTTTCCGAAAGAAAGGGAAAGAACAGAAAGATTTATAAAAATAAAAGAGAATCGATTGTACACCTTTTGTATAAAATGTTCGCCCCCCTCGCTTTTTCGTTAAAGGGCCCCAAACGTCTTAATTCGGGCCTGCATTGGCACAGCAATTTTTGCCGAGGTCCTTGTACAGCGAATCGTCTAGCGAGAGTGCGTTCCGCCGTTGTCTCCGCCTGGCTACCGTTCCGTTTCATTTTAACGATCCAATAGCGCTTTATTGCGATTCGGCGTGAATCAGGTCGCGCGCACACCAGCACGGCAAATCAAGGGCCGAATGGCGCATCACAAACAATAAATGAGGCCGGTGACTCCTTTCGGATCTCGCGAGAAGAGAAGAGCCCCGTGCACACGTCGAGGAATCGAACGTATTCGGGAACGAACGGTGATAATCGAGTATATTTAAAAACGGCGCGCTTTGCCCTCTCTCTCTCTGCCCTCCCTCTTCTCGCCGCTGTAATATGTAAAATAATTTTTCCGAACGATCAGTGATTACTATCGCGATTAAAAATAGCGCCGCAGCCGAGCGGAATTTAATCGCGTTATTAAAGATTATTAACCAATTCTTCGTACTCCTTTTTACATTTTTAATATCGACTCCGTCTAATACCTTCCTCCGCATCTTGGAAGATCGCCATCATCTCAGCCCTCCCGGCGCAGTTTGAGTCTCCTTGAATAAATATTTATTATACGCGAGAATACTTACATGTCTACGGACTCGCATGTCATTATGCAATTCCCGCAAGTTTCGCGATAAGACGTCGTCGTCGTTACGTGTTACAAATAAAATGGTGGCTGGCGGCGGCTGATCCCGCGACCCAGTATTTTGTAAAATGTAATAATAATTTATGCCGTGATCGGATAGCTGGGTGGTGTACGCGAGAAAACGGAGGGGACGTCGACCATGCCGATAAATTTTGCATACTTTATTGCGCTTACAATGCGATTGCCGGAGTAAAATAGTCGACTGTATCGGCTGATTATTGCTCTGTGGAATCTCAATGAGGACGCGCCGGGCCAGAATATTATTCGGCGGCGGCTTCGTTTGCATATAGAAAAATTTGCAATACGAGGGCGGGGAGGGAAAGCGGCATCGGATATGCCGCCGAAATCGGCGCGTTACCGGCTCTTTGCACGCGATAATTTTAATTAGCTGGCAAAACGGGCCGTTATTGTTAAAAACGGCCCGTCCGTAATTTTCATTTATTTCGAAATTCGACGCGAGCCGAATACGTAACGCGCGATTTATCAAATACGCTAAATCAGCGAAAGGAAATACCGCATCGATTCGGCAAGTTTAGCGAGCAACAAGTAACAGTTTTATCACACGAGTCGCGGATCGTTAAGTAATTTGTTTAAAAAATATTAAAAAATGCAAATTCCGACGATATTTTCATCGGCGCGAAATTTTAAGTGCTCGGTTTAGCGTTACGCTTATTTAATAACGATATAAATAAGCGAATTTTCAAATTGAATTTACGCCGTCGATTTTGCGTGAAATAAAATCACCGTGATCGGTAACCGCTCAATGGTGATTTAAATCACATGGGGACGATTATCGTTTGGTCATCGTTGTCGTGTGCCGCAGACCTTAATTGGGAGCAAAATTTCATTAATCTCTTATGAAACCAGATTCGGTTGATAAACGTCTTATTGACAAAAGAAACTGATAATTATCAGCACGACGGTAACACATAAATAAGTATCTTACAGAGCTCTGAAGCGTAAAAATGACTACCAGCCGAACTGGTATCGAAAGTTCACGAGAAGGCCAACCACTGGTCTGGAAATTAGGTGAGACGTATTACGTATATATTTAACATATATTTAGGTTTCACGGTTACGTCGTAGCATGATCGCGCTAAATGTTTGCATACGGAGAAAACACGCCTCTAAAATTGTCGGCTACGTATTAATCTCAGGATAAAATAATCTATAAGGGGTAAAAAGAAATAGAGAGGCACACATTGTGCGCGAGAACAATTAACAATGCAACTTCAATTGACTCTGCGCTCTTCAACCAAAGAGTGCAGTCATTTTTTGACTAATACGTAAGGTTATTTATTTATTTATTTATTTCATATTTATTCTTGATATTTATTAATTCGTAATAACGTATAGTGTAATGACTCCTTTGTTCGTACACAGCTTACTAACGTAACGACATTGGCCAAACGAACGATGTGAGATCATTAACAGTTGCGTGAACTTGAAATAAGAATACTACAATTTTTATTCAAATAAGAACATTGAAATAATTTTTCCTTCCACAAGTATTTTCCAATTCGTTAGAATTCCGTCTCTTTTCTCCCTTCGTGCAGAATCGGAGGTTGCCGCGTTCCGCGACGATACCCCGGCCATCGGCCATTCGTATTAAATTCCAAATTATTCGCGACGCTAAAATAATAAACAGCTCGTGAAATGATCGGGAAATTGGCATCCGTGGGCAAGCCCGCTCGCGCTCCGGGTCCCCCGGGCCCATTTCCAGTCCGCTTGGCCTCCCACGGCGCGGCGCGTCACGCAGATTTGAATAACGATTCATCGAGTCGCGCAATCAACGATTATACCGTAAATTGCCGTCCCATTCGATGCCGGTGGTTGCTTTCAGTCCCCGGATTACGAATTATACCGGCCGCGGTATGGCGGATCGGGACCGATTATCGTCTTTCTCCGTTGCTTTTGGCAGCGCGCACCGTTAAAATCCTCTCAGCGGTGAAAGTGATCTGATAAACTTTGCGGCTCTCGTGTGCAACCTTGAGGTTGCCGCGCGCTCGATCCCGCGGCAACCGCGCTTTGCCTTGTGATCGATACCTCGTTGTCTTAATTCGCGCCGCGCGGCCACAAAGGTGGTGCCTCTTTTCTTTCTCCCCCTCGTCGTCTCGTTCTCATCTTCGTCTTCCGGAAAGCGACACGCGAACCTCTCGAAACGTGCCGGCGCATTTCTGATTCCGCGCGCAGCGACGATCCGCAGCGGCCTCGGCGGCCTCTCACGCGGCCGAATCTCCGCTCTCAGCTCCCGGTCGATCGGACGCACGGTAATGTAATCAAAGCTCCGGGCTTGACGTCACGGCGACTTGAGCGTGTCGCGACTTGCAAATAGGCATACTGCTCAAACTATTCGTAGCGGTCTGCATTCTGCACGAGTGCCCCGTGGGACTTGATATATGAGATGGACGTAAAGGATCTCGCATGCGGGCTATACATGCGGCTCACGAATTTCACTCCTTCCACGTGTCCGCGAGCCTCTGCGAGTCGCCCAAGAAGTTTCATTTTTAAAACCGCGGAAAATCACGACATTTCTTAACGCTCAATTAACGCACTCCTTATACGTATCTCGTTTATATATTTCTACACTCTTAAGCGCGTACCGCCGACAATTGGAGGTACATGTTAAAATAAAAAGTATACGTAATTATGAGGTATGTATCCTTGCATGTTGTCACTAGCATTTCTAATTGCTCCATTTACTTGCTTAGTTTACTTGTATTCGAAACCTAAATTTAACAATTCCAAGCTTAGCTTTATTCTATGTAAAATTTTTCGCCTATTTGCACTTACACTTGTATGGATCTTATATTCCTTATTTATACTTTATTAATTTTATAGTGATCTTAGATTATTTACATGTCTTCCTTTTTCTCTCTTTAAACTTCGTAACCTGCTTTCTCTTTCCATACATAGCTTCCTTATAGTATTTTACTTTTTACCGTATCTAATTTATCGCTCCATATCTTATTCCTTATTTCTTTATTATTTTTCCCTAATTTCTTGAATTATAAGGTACATAAAGATCTACCAAAATAGAAGAGAAGATACGAGTAGTACCTCGAAATTAGGAGTCTTATTTCGAGGTGAAACGTGTCTTGTTCGTGGGTGCCCACAATATAGACATAAAACGGAAGATTGATCCACATTATGTGTAATTTGATTCTTGGCACTGG